AGAAGTAATGTAAAAATGATTAATCCGTTCTCATGTAAAAAAATGGCTGGCTTTAAACACCTCGTTTTCCTCGCTAGTTTCTGCTTGATTTTTCATGAGATCAGTATGTATCCTTTTAACTTTCTCGCAAATAATTTCTTCCGATACGCTGTCGCCGGCACACTGTTTTTCAGTTATCCAAAGCAAAAGCAATTTCTCGACATGATCTAATGTCTTCGATCTCTGTTTAGAAATTGATTTAACCCCTTTTGCAATGTTAGCAGATTTAATAATGTCTTTATTTTTCACGATTGTCGATATCGTCGTTCTCGGAATACGGAATGCAACAGTTAAATCTCGTTAAATCTCGAACACGCGTGCCACCTTCATATTTCTCAACAATCTCTTTTTTCAGTTCTGTTGTCATTCTAGTCATTTTTTTTATTTTTCTGTTGCCCTTTTGCAATTCAAGATTAATAAAAATAATAAAATGTTACTTACAAATTAAAATCAAAATAAATTTAACAAATTTATAAACCTTAGCACTGTGAATGTCTAGTCTAGTGTAGTACACCGATAGTGATACTTGTTCATAGATGACGCATATAATTGAATTAAGTCGTATACCGAACAAAAGTCGTATACCAAGCAAAATTTGTTTCGTCCAAACAGGACGTATTCCGAATTGGACGTATTCTAAAGCAGACGTATACCGAGGTTCCACTGTATATTGTCTTGAAGTACGTATTTCTCATCAACAGTTATCAAATACAGATTTATTTTCTGATTTTTTTTAGTGGTTTACAGGCAAAGTTGAAAAAAAATGATTAAAGTTTATATATTTTCATTTATACAAAAAGTTTAAAGAAAATAAAGAATAAGAATATTTTAAAAAATAAATAAAGATAATATTAAACATTGAGTAAATAAAAAACAAACAAAAAAGCAAAATATTAAAAATAAACTTGCAACAAGTGCATTAGTGATGAATGAGAAGGTTACAAATAAATTAAAAACTCCAAGGATGAAATAATATGAGTTTATTTCTTTAGCAAATTTAGTCAGCCAAAAATTTCTTTTATATAGTGAAGAAAGTAACTTAAATAGCTTAAATGTTAAGAATAAAAATTAAACAATAAGAATTTTTGATTCCAAAGCAGATAAAAGAAAATGGCCATGAATACCATCAAGATTATATAATAATATTAATCACTGAAAATGTTTTTTTTTTTTTTTTAAACAAGTTTTTAGGAAGAAAAAGGAAAACTATAATGGAGGTATCAATTTTATTCATTTAACTTTTTAAACGTGAAATCAGCCAAAGGGAAAGCTTTTTAGCTGGTTTTGCTGTACAAATTTCCCTCACAGCCTGAGGGGTAAAAACAATTTTGCCTCTGGATACATAGAAAGAAGAAATTTTCAGAGTTAAGCTTTTTAATTTTCAAAGTTTAGAGTCACAACTTATCCACATATTTCAAAAAAGATGATTATGAAATCATGAAATATATTATTGTTTTGTGAACAGGAAAATGATATTTTATGAAAGTTACATGTGTTTGTGGAATGACGTGAATATTTTTTTATTTCTAAAACCATATTTTATAGCACTGTAATGTAAATAAAAACAAATAAAATTACTTTTAAAAAGTAATATACCATGAATTAGTATTGTTTATAGCTTTAATATTAATTTATGATGTATATTTATGTATTGATTTATTTATAGTTAAGAAAAGTTTAAAAATGTATTTGTAATTAAAATTTAAAACAAGCGATCTGATAGCATGCTCCACAAAAGTAAATCAAATATTAATTATGTTTTAAAATAAATTTTATAAATTCTTGGAATCAACATATATAGTAAGGGATGTGGTTTATAGATTCCAGAGGAACCACGTAGTTTTTACTATAGCTTACAATGACCATAAACAAAAACATTCAGTTCCCTTTTGTGCATGTGCATGCACATCTGATAGACACACAAAAGTCCTAACATAAGCATTTCACCACTATAGTGGAGCGTGCTAATGATCAAAACTCTTTCTAAGTCTCTATTATGATTTCTGTTTTGAGCATAAATTGCAAAAGAAAATAAAAAATTTAAAGAACAATATTTACATTAATAAAATTTAAGCTAAGTCTGTCAAAAAAGGGATATTTTTTTCATGCTTTAAAAAAATGTTTTATACCATTGTTAGATAGTCTACAAGAAAAACCTACATATACCATCATTGTGTAGTTTTAAAATATAGAAGTGAATAAAGACAACTTTTTTTTTAAATATATATATTACATGTAGGTTTTTCTTGTAGGCTATCTAACAATGGTATAAAACATACTTTGTTATATATATATATATATATACAGATTATAATCATGTAGTATGTTCTTCACATATCAACTGAAGATTTGATAGAAATTCAAATGTTTTATAATTAAATATCTGTATGATGTACTGTTGGTGAAGGAAAAATTTTACTCAAAAACTTTACAGAAAATAAACATAAAGATTCCTTGAGTAAGTTTTGTGTTGTGAATCTAATAACTTGGGATTATATTTGTCTTCATCTAATTCTTTTACATCTTTTCCTTTGTGTTCAGGAATCAATATGTCTTGTCATCTTGATTATGATTATGACTACTTATTTTGAAAACAAAGTTATATGAGATGATAGTGGAATTAATTGCACTCAAAAATAAATTATATACATGGTGTATCAGAATGACATTATAAAAATTTGGGGGATTGTAGAGGATGAAATTTTGAATGTTTTGATATAAGGAATCTATAGCCGGAAAATTGAACTAAAGTGTCTACAGCGGTAGGAAGTGCTTGACCGCTCTTCACTTTGGTAGCTATCCTTCCGTCCATTGATGTCTTGTTATTGCTGCGGATGGAAGACTGTAAACACACGACTACAGTGGTCTAACTGAGCCCGTGTACAGGATGTTGTGTACTTAGTGCTTGTCATCCTTCAGGTCACCCCTTGCATCCACTGGTGCTGTGCTGTAAACACACAACTAGTCAATATGAGTCTCTTGTGTACGCAACACCTGTAGGAACAGTTCATGAGCTTACGGAGCGCATGTTTACAGCATTTAATACCATCAGAGAGGAGTGTGGCATCTTACAGAGGGTCAGACAAAACATGGTTTGTTGTTGCACATTATGTAACGAAGTTGGTGGTCGTCACATTGAACATTATTCTAAAGTAGTGCAGCCATTGATTCGATGTACAGTTTGATTGTACTCTACTGTTTTGTCAATAAAACTTGTCATAAATACTGTATTCTGCTATTTCATTCAGCATACCAACCGCATAGAACATGCAAAGTGCTGTAGAAACTTTATATCACATTTCCGGTTATAGGTTCCTTATATCAAAACGTTCAAAATTTCATCCTCTACAATCCCCCAAATTTTTAAAACGTCATTCTGATACACCCTGTATATTACTGTTTACTTGAAATATCGAAATTTAAAATATGTTTAGTAAAATCATTAGCATTTTTATTATGTTGAAAGATATCAGAAAGAAAGAGGAGGTAATTCCTGATTTAAAGCTGAGCGGTACATTTTTGTCTATCCTGTTCTCCGGATAAATTAAGGATTTTTTGGCTTTTAACAATAATTATGTTCACTTTTTGGTTGGTGTTGTGATTGTTTTTGTTTTTTTTTATATGCTGACTGAAATTTTCTTCCTTACAGTTTTTCAGATCTGCTGAATAGGAGACTCCTCTGCATCTCATTTGTGAGTGTGCAGATCTTTTGCTCAGGCAGACTTGTTTATTTGGGTTTTCTTTTTATGTATCCTACTGACATCCTTTAGCTTTCTTTAGAGGTCTACTATCTTTCTTTAAAGAGATCAGACTTCTAAAGTATTTCTTGTGGGATGCACAATGGACTTTTCAGGTCAAAGGGCTTTTGGCAGTTGCACAATAACAGTAATCAAAAAGCAGAGGTTTGAAATGCACTAATTTATGAACATTAATGCTACAAAAAAAAAAAAATGATGTTCCAAAAAGACTAAGATTAGTTTTTCATACCAAAATTTTAAAATCTAAGTTTTTGAATGATCAAATTAATATATGTATTTTTATTTAACAGCAACATAATACATTCAGTTTTTATTTTAAAAAGTGAGCCAAATTTTTATAACCAGGTAATTCTAAAATTATTTTGTAATAAAAAATATTTGAAAGTAATGTTTCATAATTGTTCACTAATAATTAGATAACCAATATTACATATATACCTCTATAACAGATTTACTTTGAGTAGTTTATGAAATTTTTGAAGGGGGAAAAAAGAGTACTTTTTATTAAATGAAATATTCTATGACTTCTAATATATATGATAAAATTTTATTTTTCAGCTAAGAAATTTGTCAGATATGTTAGAAATTAAACTACAATGATATGTATGAAAATTTTAAATTATGATATAAGAAATTAAATATTGATGTGAATATTGCAAGCCAAGTCACTATTTCCTATGGCATCCATGATGTGAGAGCTGAGATTTTTGTCAACATTTACTCACATGAATATGGATGTTGATGAAACAAATGATTTAGTTATTAAATTAATAACATTAAATATTTAAATTTAATTACAGAAGTTTTGACATTTTTACAATTTAAAGCTTTTTAAATAGAAATACAGTATAACAATTTAGATTTAGATTTTTTTGAAAATAAAATGTTAAATTTCCAAAAATTTAAAATCTGTTGTCAAGTAATTTTGACGTAAGATGTTACCAAGAATAGGCATAGAAATTATGTGTGTTAATGTGTCATTTTTTAAATAAAACACTCATCATGATCTTTGATGTTTAGTTTAACAATATTTTATTATGTTAACAATCATTTATCAAATAATTTCTAAGATTTCATAAATACAAAATTAAATTTTTTTAATAATTAGATTTTTTCTGTTATAGTATTCAATATCATTATTTTTAATTTTCAGAGTTGAAATTTGCATTGATGATTGATTTTATTTATTTATTTATTATAAAGGTGTTACAACTGCAAAACCAAGAAATTATAAATGTCGTTATTGTGATAAAGCTTATATTGGACGAGGTGGCTTAGCACGTCATTTCAGACTGAATCCATCACATGGAAATATTATTGATATTGAAGATGGAAGCACACAAGGTAAATTTATTAATAATATGATTCAGTCAGCAGTTAATGTTTTTTAATTTTTCTTTGAAGATTTTATTTTGTAATATTTAAATGTCACTTTTATTTAATGAGATAATGATAGACAACAGTCTCACTCTAGAAATAAGAGATTGTTGGGTTTCACTTTTCAAAAATTGTAGATCTATAAATTCCCACTGACGTCTGTTCTGTTGTCTGCCCTTCCTTAATCTCAAGAATGGTGTTAGATAGATGAAAATCAAAACCAAGTATGGAAAGCTTAGAGGCAGGAGACCCTGATTAACTACATACAAACATCCAGTTTAGACCAAAAATCATGTTATTTCAATTAAAAATTTTCTCTTCAGCAGAGTTAGATGACTCCATTGTTAACAGGAAAAGTATGATGTACAGGGGCAAGACACTACAAAAATTGAGAGCATTGTAATATACAATCCCTGGCAAAAAGTATTTGAACATGATGTAAGAAAATTAAATCATTTAGTTTTAACTCATTTTACAAGAAAATAAAGATGTAATGTTCAAAAGAAAACTATACAATTTATTCATTGGGTTATTAAATAGTAATCATATAATTTCAAATGAATAAACCAAACCATTTTTACAAAAAAGAATTTTTATGTAAAGCAGTATTGGAAAAAGTTTTTGAACACTGTTCTAAATTTACAGATTTGAGCATTCTAATTTGAATGGAAGAAACTATTTCTTTTAAGAGATGTGTTTGCGTAATTTTCTAAGTAAACAGTGATATTTTATCCGTTTTTGCTTAAACAATGGCCCCAATCAAAGAATTTATTAATGATGTGATAAAACAAATTCTAAAGCTACTACAAGATGATGTAAAACCAATAAGGCTTAAGATTATGTATTGAGAAAAATATGCTTAAAAATAAAAAATTGTCTTCCAAACAATTAAATATGGTATGAAAGAAAAATAAAACAAATGTTGTGACACAGAACAGTAAGAAATAGACTGAATGACAAGGGTTTTTCATTTGCAAAGTAAAAACAAAACTCTTTTGGCCAAGAATTTTGTTTCTTGGCCAAAAACAATTGTTTAAAATGGTCAAGACAACACACAAATTACACTGTAAAAGATTGGAAAAAGATTATTTTTTCAAATGAGAGTCATATATGCATTGGAGAGTGGTGATGATGCAGGAAAATTCATTTGGAGATGTGCAGATGAGAAATTTAAAGAAGACTGCTTGAATAGGAACACTAAGTTTCCAAGTTTAATGATTTGAGCTGCATGTCAGCTATTGGATTTGGAAATATATATACAGTAAGACCCCGCTTAATGTGGGGGATGCATTCCTAGACGACAAAGCGCTAAGCGAAACAGCGTTAAACAAGACCATTTTAACATAGAGTAAATAGGGATATGGGAACACGCAACCGAAAATAATAAAAAAATTACTTTAATTTTAAGTTATTTTTATATTAATTTGTATAATAATATATGTTAAATGACACATAAACATATGCACACAGAAATGCATAATAATATATTAATTCATTCATTTTTTGTGACAAAGGTACTGACTTTTCTGAAAATCTTGTTTTTTTTTCAATAAAGTCGCAAAGTTTCATTTGTTGCTTTTTTCTCTCCTTAAGCAAATGTCTGTAGCAGAAGATTGCATCCAAAACATCTCGTTTTGCTTTTGCACTCCTTTCAAAATCTAGATCATTCGCTACAATTTGATCAACGATTTCAGTTATTGTTACCAAACTTTTACTAAAGAAATCTGTAGCAAGTTCTTTGGATTCTTCATTTTCAGAATCTCTATTTTCAAGTTCTACATGAATTCATTGTTCTGCCAGTTCTTGAAGTCATTGTTGGTAAGGCTCTTACCAGAAACCTGCAGTACTCCAATATTCTGCTCGTCTGCATTACATCTGTATTGGTTAAGTTGACAATTTGGTCAACATAATGATGCAGTGATAGGCTCTTCTCGTTGAGAATTCTTGGATACCTTCAGCCATAACTTCTTCCACACTCTGTTCATGCATTTATCAGATAATTCTTGCCAAGCCAAGTCACTATTTCCTATGGCATCCATGATGTTATAATTTTTCCGAAATTGCACAAAACAAACATAGATTTAAGGAAAGTACAGCACTACGACAAATTGCCACCTTTTGCTGATTGGTTCGTGTTTGGGAATAATCGTATTATATATGAATCAATGAAATACCATGTTAATTTGAATCAGCATAAATTTTGAGAGTTTTTTAGGCATCAAGCAGACCACATTATATTGAATCAGTGTTAAGCAAGGTCTTATTACAGCCTCATTAAAAAAAAATATATATATATATATATTTTTTAATGAGGCTGTAATAACAGAAGTATATGAGGAAATTTTAGAATTGTTTCTGATTCCAACAATCAAAGATCATTTTGGTGATGCTGATGTTCTTTTTCAGGATGATAATGCCACATGCCATCAAGCCAAACAAAATAAAGAATTTTTAAAGTCTAAGAACCTGCAAATGGCCCAGATTTAAACCCAATTGAAAATTCATGGGCAAAGTTGAAAATGCTGTTTGATGAAAGTGTGCCAACTAATAAAGATGAACTTAAAGAAGCCATTGAAATTAGCTGGAAGTAAAATAACTTCAGAAACCTTAATGAATTAATTTTGACAGTGCCAAGATGCATAAAAGCTGTAATAAGATCAAGAGAAGGACCAACAAAATATTAACTTCTATTATTTTTCATGCAATCTTTTTATTACTGTTTATGTTCAAAAACTTTTGTCCAATACTGCTTTATGTAAAAATACTTTTCTGGGAAAATTGCTTGGTTTATTCATTTGAAATTAAGTGATTAATACTTAATAACATAATTAATAAAATGTATATTTTTGTTTTGAACATTACATTTTTATTTTCTTGTAAAATGAGTTCAAATGAAACAATTTAATTTTCTTACATCATGCCTTTCATACATCTGTTCAAATACTTTTTGCAGGGTTTGTAGTTTCGTCTTCAAGTGTAGTTTACAGTAACAATAATCAGGACTTTCCAGTGAAAACAGTTATTTATTTTTTGAAATTTTACTAATTAACTTTTAATTTAAAATAATTCAGTTGTGCTATCTATTTTGAACTACTGTGGCTAATTTTTTAAAATTTAAAATAATATTGCAATAAAATATATTAAATGAGTTTTATTATTTATTTATTCTAGATGAGAATTCAAATAGCTCTATGGCATCAGCAGTTGGAAGCACAACTATGTCATCAGGCCATCAAATGAATTTTGGACGCCACGGTTCCACAAGAGGTGATGATGATCATCATCATCCTCGTTCTTATAACAGTGAAATAGCTTCTGCTAGGCGGAAAGCTAAATTGAAAGATGTAAGAATTTAAAATTTTATTTTTGATTAATCAATTTATTTATTAATGAAATTATTAGATGCTTAATTTAATAAATAAAACATACAAATTACAAATGTACAAAAAATTAAGTTTGAAATTTGTATGCTGACTTATAAACCAAATAATGCTAGTTTTTTTTAATAGTTAATTTAAGGTTATGTTTTAATTTCATTAAATTACAGATTTATATTAGCATGAAAAAAATCAGTATTGTTTGGTATATGTAAAATGAGCACAGATTAACCATATTATTCAGAAAAACTTCTTTTAGGAAAACCTGAAAAATTAAATTTTGATCAAAAATTAATTAAAGTGACAAAAATAAGAATTTACCAATAAAAAAAATTTGGAAAGTGCCAACATTTAAAGCAAAATAATGGAAAAATATATAGTGATTGCTTGGTTGCTTACTGACATTTATTTTTTCAATATAAAATTACTAAGTGATTTTTTTACTGTAATTACTTTTTCTATAAAGTGTTTTAATGATTAAAACAGAGTTAAAAGTAGGTATATAGTTTTTATTGACTGTTTGTAACATGGATTCCATTGGTCTACTATTATTGAACTTAAATATTTGTATAATAGAAGACTGAATCTGCTACTTTGAAAATGATAGAGCTATATATATACCAGTAGAACTAGATTCTCTAAACTTAATCTAATGTAGAAATTTGTTATAGTGGTCAAATGATCAGAAGTAACTCTCACTTTATAAAAACTTCATAGTCAAAGCTGTGACCCTTTGGGGCATACTCTTCACCAGTCCTTGTATGACGACTGGTGGTATTTTCTTCCACTCGGCTTGGAGAAGACATATGAGTTCCTTCATCAATTTCAGGCTGTGGGGACACCCCTTCAGTCAATGCTCTAACTCATCTTCAAAGGTGCTCAATATGGTTCAGGTCCGGGCAAGTCAATCCATTTGTTTAACCCTATTGTCACTATACCAAGCAATGGTGATCAACATGACAGCTGGCGTTATCATCCTAGAAGTAACGTGGGTCCAACCTGTAAAACTGCCACAATGTAGGAAGCATGTGGTTATCCAAAATAGTGCAGTAGGCATTGGTGTTGAGCCTACCATCAATTGCAACCAAGTGTCCCAGGCCATACCAGGAAAAACACCCCCAAACCATAATTCTACCTTCGCCAAACTTCTTTGTTGTCACAACTCGTTCCGGCAAGAGGCATTCTCCAGGCAGATGCCAAACCCAGACTCTGCCATCCGAATGGAAGAGGGTGAACCTCGATTCATTGCTCCAGAGAACCTGTTCTATGGTCCACTGTCTACATTCTTTGCATCAAGCTAGCCAAGCAGTACTGTTGGTTCTGGTGATGAAATGCTTGTGGACAGCAGCACATTCATGATAACCAAGCAGATGAGCTTCCTTATGGATGGTATTCATTGAAACAACAGTCCCAGCTGCTATTTGAAACTCCCTATGGATGTGGGCCATCAGTTGGGTGTGGTTCTTCCATATTTCTCTGGAGAGCAACTGTCGGTCTCTAATGCCCAGTTTCTTGGGCATGCCTGGTCAGGGCTTATTCTGACAGTTACTGCTCACCTTCCACTTGCAAATCACATAGCCCACTGTTGATTTTGGGTACTTCAGCTTGCTGGATATGTCACATATGGAACAGCCATTTCTGTGATAACCAATGATTAAACCTTTTTCAAAATCAGACAGCTCCGAACTGTGTGGCATCTTGCACTTGACTGATGCCACTTGATATTCGCAGCAGCCATGACGTGTATTAGGACAGCGCATGTTGCTGTTTGCAGAGGTGTCCAATTACTCTGTGGCAGATAGTGTAGCTATTATGAAGTATATTATGAAGAATATGAGGTTATATGCAGTTATAAGGTTGGCAGCGTAGTTGCTTTGTTTTAATTGTGTGTCTTGTATTTACCAATATGGCTACTGTGAGTGCTTTATGGGACAATTGTTGTAACTTAAATAGCTGTAAGTCAAAGCATAACATATTATCATTAAAAAATTAAAGTGCTTACTAAAATATGTTAATATAGACATAATAGATTATGCAAAAAAAGTTGATATAATAAGTACATACATTTAATAAAAAATATTTTGCTTTGTGTAGATGAGCATTATCAATAATATGTTTAGCATTTACTCTCTTATGTGAATATATTTGTTTAGAAATGTTTGTCAGAACTAGTCATTATGTTTAAATTTTTAATTTTTGGATGATTCATTTATAGTCTGTCATTATGATGATCTTTTTATTATATTTTGTAAGCTTTTTTTCCCCTCTAATTGACTGGACAACATTTATTGTGGTAACATTCAAATGCTTTGTCGAGTTCTCTATAAAAATTTAAAATTTATATGTGATAAATTTATCTATTTGATTTACTAGTTTAGTTATAGAATCTTTATTGTCAAATGAATAAACATTTCCAAATATTTTTATTTTGTTCACATGTTCTTAAAGTATTGTTACAAAATTATATAATTCAATATTTTTTACTGTCTAAACCAATGTTTAAATTAGATTGTTCTCACATAATAAATTAATTTGTAATACACCTACACAAATGCATGTGCATTTTTTTAGCATTATGAACATTTGCTTTAATCAATGTGGTAATAAACATGTTTGATTGATCCTTCAAAGATTGAAAATTAAAAGGATCAATTAAGAATTCAAGAATATTTAAATTTTCTCATATTTTAGAAAGTGGAGAGATCAGTTGTTTTTATTAGCAGATCTTCTTTCTACAATCTATATCTAGAACTATTTATGTGGAAAATATGTGTGAATCAAATATTAAGGTTTTACTCATTAATAGTTTTATTAACAGTAAATAAGTGTGTTGTTTTAAATTTTGTTAATTTTATTTATTAAGTAATTAAAGGTTTTTAACACACAAACAATTTTAAAGGAACATTTGTTTGTTTAAAAAAAGAAGCTAATAATTGTTAACTTCTTTTATAAAAATATACTCATGGAACTATGAATAAGAACTGGCTATAAATTTTTTATTTGGTTCATGAACAAGCCAGTTTTATATCTTTGCTAAAAAAAACTTTAAAAATATTTTAAAAACATTTAGGTATTTTGTAACAGATCTTAATATTTTTAAAAATCAAGTCATTATTTGCTACATCTTTAATTTTAAATTTGTATGTATGTATATAAGCATAATATATCAAATAAATAGAATATGTATTTCAGACATTTTAATTAATATTATTTATTGTTGTTATACTAATATATCTTTAATAAAAAAAATAATTATATTTGTTTTAATATTGTTAGTTCCTAAATCATTGTCAAGAAGAAGAATTGATGGAAGTTGTAATGCCACATTTATCACAAAATATTACATTATGGGAATTTTTATTGATGAAAACTGAATCATCAAATCCTTCTCAACCACATATACCAGCTATTCTTGATCATTTTGATTCGTTATTAAAGCATATACAGAAAGTTGCAAAGACGTGTCTTGCACCAACAAGTCCAGATAGAAAAGATGATAAATTTTGTTATCAGGTCAGTATTGAAAATACATATAAATGTAATTTTAAAAAAATGTATATGAATAATTATAGTTAATTTTTTAAAATATTCTATATTTATATTTTAAGTAATTATATAAGCTGAGTTTTAATATAAATTTAAATAGATAAATTTACAATAAAATAGCAAAGTTAAAAAAATTATAACAACTAAAAATACAATAGTGGTCATGGAAATTGCATCATGTATAATGATATATAAGGAAAAGTGTTCAACAGATTTGCAAAATAGCATATTTAAGCTAGGGTTGTAATTTGTAATGTAACATATGTATTAAAGAGAAGAAACCAAGAAGAATAAATCAATACAATGTAATTTATTAAATATAATGCAACATTGAGCTTAAATAAGTTTACAGCATAAGTATGCCTGAAAAACACTACATAATAAGTTATTCCTTGTTGAATGGAATCCTAATACTTTGTAGGACAACCTTGAGCCTTAGTAATAGCTTTAAGACTTTAGGCTTTAATTAATCTACATTATGCTGGAGCTCTTATTAGCTCCTGTATAGTGTGGATGACTTTCTTCAAGTATTCTATACTGAGCTCATGATAACAAACTCCTGCAGTTGATATTTATTTTCAAACCTCTTTTCTGCAATTTTTACACCCATAATATACTACTACTGATCTTCATCAGTTAAATTGAGATCAGATTGATCAGAACTGTTAACTGGCCAGCTAAGACATCTGATCAGGGCTTGTAGGCACTTTTACCTAAACAACAATTTGTCTGTTAATTTAAGTGAATAAAATTGATGAACACACTCAACACCAAATCAGTACAATTAATAAATATGCACTGTCTTTCAGTGTTAATTTAATTTAATCCAAATATACACAAGTACTTTCAACATTTTACAAATGTCTTCAGACAAAATATAACATTTAGAAAGAGAACAAAATTTTAAATAGATATTCTTAATTAAGAACATATTTGGCTCCATTAGTAAATAAAACCAATAGTTATTCTTGATTCTCTGTTTTGTATTTTAAATATTTCATATATTTCTGACTTTAAACTTCAAAGATGTTATTGAATGCCAAAAAATTGACAGAATTCCTGACAGTGGACTATTATACAAAAAAAATCTTATTCATTACAATTTAGCATTATTTTTTCTTTTTTAACCAAAAGACTATTTTGTCAATTTCTTTTACAATGCATAATGTGCAGGTGTTGCTGGTTCAAGTCCTACTTTAGTTTGATTCTTTTCTTCCAGAACTTTCTAAATTAATTATTAAAATATTGTTTTAAATATTTAAATTAAATTAAATTATTAAATTTAGCAAGAGATGAAACCTAACATCTGTGTCTAGTGCCAAATAACTTAGCATTTAATTAATAATAATAATAATTCAGTATAACCTCTTATTTGTGGACACTATAAGGACTGCAAAGTTTGTTCACTATTTAGAGGTGTCCTGTATTCGGAGGTACATGCCAGCAGCCATCTTGTATTTTAACATAGTCATTATAAAGTGAAGAATACAATGGATTACAAAAACATCAAATTTGCATTAGGAATGTGAAAATACCTAAAAGTATACATAGCAAATATAATTAAAATATATATACAGTATATTATTTTTCTTTTCAGCTGTATAAATTACATTTTAATTGAATTCTAAATAGCAAACAGATTGTATAGGATTAACCAGGGGTGCACAACCTGCGGCCCGCGGGCCACATACAGCCCCCTATCAATGTTTATGCGGCCCGCAGACGGTACAGGTCAAATCCCTTCTTTCGAAGTTTCTAAGTGTAGAACTTTTTTCCTTTCACAAAGTCATTAGCACCCAACTGTTTTATGACTTTCCCTGAGGTAAGAAATGGGGGGTTGTTCTATAAATAAGTCTATTTCTAGCTAACACTTTCTGGTTTAGATATCGAATATTTTAAGTTTAATACATAGTATTATAACGATTTTTCGAAGAATCAAATAGAATAAAATGATGTTAGAACATCATTTCCGATGTTATTAGAAGTTTCTATTTTGACAGGAAATTTTCAATTTTATGCTTCGGAAAACTTGCTTATTCGTCTAAATAGCGTCAAATAACAAAAATAAGTGAAAATAGCGCTGAAAAACCATGAAAATAATGATTTTTTAGCATTTGTTTACATTCTAGATTCTGATTGGTATAGTCGAATTTGAATCAATCTTTTCTGAAAACACGCTTATTCGTCAACCTAATGTCATTCAAACTAGAAAAAACTAACCAGAGTTCAATAAAGGAATGTACAAAAAGCTATTACAACCAATAATTTACAATATCTCTCCATAGACAAAGAATAGAAAAAATTTTTTTTGCATCAAATTTATTATTAAGTTGGACCAAGAAAATTAATACTGTAGTTGGAATAGTCATTATACGACTAAAAGGAAGTCGTTTGCACTAAATATTTTGGATTTAATAATTATTACAAACCGCGTCAAGCCATAAACTTCTTGTCAACAAAGAGGGTTGTAAAATGATTCCGTGTAGCTAGAAAGCTGCGATTTCTTTTGTTTGAAAGAAAACAGATATATTTAGGTTATTTAAATAGTAAATTAATTGGAACTTTTTATTTACTTTTATTTTTACATTCTTTTTTTCGTAAATTTAAAATTAAATTATTATTTTTAATTTTTATTTTATTTGAAATTTAACAGTCGTAAACTGTGATATATTTGTGACAGAAAAAAAAAAAAAACAGATTGATTCTAGCGCCAATTTGAAACGAGATATCGCAATTTTAATAATTATATTTAAAATATTCAGATTTTCCACTGCACTGTGTTAATCACTTTTGATTCATTTCTGAACACGGGGGTAAAACTGACGGGCCATAAATATAATTTAGGTAAGAATGGTAACCACATTTATGATGGATTAGTGTCCTGCACCTGGCATGTTGACGATCTGACTCACAAATTCTGAGAAATGGTGGAGACGCCCGGACAGGGGTCGAACGAATTAAGACCTGCCTGGCCACGTGTGCGTAATAGTCTTCTGTCCCCGCCTCTTTAGTCTTTGGTCAGAGTGGATACAGAACAAAGCACGTGGTAGTCTAGCTTGCCTTATCTCAAACATGATTTGTTGCGGGCCTCAGAATTTTCGGCACAATGAGACATTGTTTTGCAGAGTGAACAGTATGGCGCCGGGCATTAAACGCAAGGTCAATCGCGAGAATCATCAGTTTCAAGAAGTGGAAGTGTGGACTAACAAGTACTGTTTTGTGCAACAGAACAACAGCATTATTTGCCTTTTGTGCAATGGAACAATAGCAGTGCCAAAAGAATTCAACCTGAAGCGACATCATGAAAGCCAACACAAGGATTTCCTTCTGCAAGGTACGGAACGCAAACGGAAAATCGAATCGTTACGACGATCACTAATCAGCCAACAAAATGTGTTCAAGAAACAATCTGGAGAATTGGATGCGGCTGTTGAAGCCAGCCTAGAAATATCTGCTTTAATAGCCAAGAATGGGAAACCTTTCACAGATGGCGATATGATAAAAAAGTGTCTTATCATCGCAAGTGAGAAGATGTGTCCTGAGAAGACAAAGTGTTTTCAAACAATCAGTCTTAACCGCATGACGATACAACGGAGAATCTCGCAAATTGCATCAGACATTTCTGGCCAACTTAATATTTTAGTTGCAAACTGTGCTTATTTTTCTTTGGCTGTGGACGAATCCACTGACATATCATCAACAGCACAAGTGATTGTGTTTATTAGAAGTGTTTCACTAGATTTTATTGTGAATGAAGAATTTCTTGGCATGGCATCACTTTCCGGACATACAACTGGTGCTGACTTACTTACTGGTTTATTGAGCGTTTGCAACAAATCAGCACTGGACTTTGACAAGCTATCCAGCATTGCCACTGATGGAGCACCATCTATGGTTGGATGTGAGAATGGCATGGTCACCTTGCTGAAAAACCACCTTGGGGACAGGCAAAAGGAGTTAGTCCAGTATCATTGCATAATTCACCAACAGCAACTTTGTGCAAAGAAGCTGGGATTTGAACGTCTGCTGAAAGATGTCTATGATACTGTGAACTTAATCCGCCGTCATGGACTCAACCATCGACTCTTCACATCATTTCTTGAAGAAATAGATGCTGATTATGCTGACCTGCCCACGTATACTGAAGTTCGTTGGCTGAGCAAGGCAACAGTCCTCAAGAGATTTGTGGAGCTATTGGGGCCTATTATCACTTTCCTCAAAGAACGGGGGAACACTACAAGGAATTTGGAGGGACAAAGATGGCAGTGTGATTTAGCTTTCCTTGCTGACATTACTGCTTATCTAAACGACCTTAATTTGAGATTGCAGGGAAAGATGCAACTTGTTTCTCAGTTGACAAGTAACATCAATGCATTTATGACCAAACTATCACTTTTCAAGTCCCACATGCAATCAGAGAACTTTACACACTTTCCACATTGCAAGGCCATGAAAGAGAAATACCCACATATGAAGATGGATTACTCTGACCAAGTTAACACCCTCCTTACATCATTCAATGAGAGGTTTGGTGAATTCCAGAAATACAAGATCTACCTGCAACTTTTTTCAACTCCATTTGATGTGAAAGTGGAAGATGCCCCTCCAGATGTCCAACTTGAGTTGATAGACATCCAGTGCAGTGATGAATTGAAATCACAGTTTAAAAATTCTAATCTTCTCACATTCTACAAAGAACTGCCAGATACATCATTTCCAAAACTGAAAGACAATGCTCGATTTTGTGCAAGCATGTTTGGCAGTATCTATGTATGCGAACAAGCGTTTTCGCTTATGAATTTAAACAAGTGCAAAACACGGAACAGGTTAACCAACAAGAATTTGGAAAATCTGCTGATTGTTTCAACATCTGCCATTACGCCAGACATCAAGAAGATTGCCGCCAACATCCAATCTCAGCCATCGCATTAATCACTTGGAGGTCCGGCCCCCCCAGTCAGTAAACTTAATCCTAATTTGGCCCTTTTTCAAAAAAGATTGTGCATCCCTGGATTAACCTTAAAACTGTTTCGTTTTCATTACTACTGTACTGCATTTCTTGTGGAATGAATGAATAACTTTAAAAAAGGTTATGGTTTTGTGGTATCATAAGCTTAATCTATACTAATATTATAAAGAGGTAATGTTTGTATGTATGTATGTTAGTTTGTATGCAGCAGGTAATCTCCGAAACTACTCATCCGATTTCAAAAATTCTTTCACCAATATTTAGAATGGAACTTCAGGGTGGACATAGGCTATATATTATTCCGTTAAACATGGGGGGTGGACAGTTCTTTACGGTAAGCCTTACGAAAAAGGTTACCGTAAAGAACTCTGCTTCTATTTATACCATTTTAGATGCAGTTTTTTCCGTTTTTGATTGCGTTTTAATAGAGTACGTCAACAGAATGTACACTAAGAAGGGATTTTTCGATATTCCCCCCGCGGGGGAGAGAGACAGGATTAAGGCTTACTCTGAAAAACTTGGCTTCTATTATACTATTTTAGATGCGGGTTTTTGCGTTTTTGATTGCGTTTTAATAGGGTACGTCAACAGAATGTACACTAAGAAAAAATTTTTCGAAAAATTTTTCCCCACTGGGGAAGTGTTATACATTTATAATAGATACATTTTGAGCCACAACAAGGCGTGGCGGGGTCTGCTAGTTCCAAATAAGATAAGTTTAATAATGTTAATATGTATGACAATAAATGCTCCTCCCCACTATTCCTATTTTAAGTCAGTCTTTATTTGATGCCTGCAGTCAAAATTCCTCTGAAAGAGTATTTGAACTGATTCTTTGTTTTAGTTTTAAAATATTTTGTACATAATTCATTTTTTCAGAATATTGAAGGTGGGACTTTGTGTTTTTGTAAGGTAGGTTATGGACAACAGCATCTGTTATTTAGAATGTCTGCTATTTAGAGGTAAATATAATAGTTGTCTGATTTGAAAGGTCTGGGGATTGTAAAAAGTCCATTAAGTAAAGGTATCTCTATTCAGGCGTGTCCATTAATGGAGGTTTCACTGTAATGGCTTTAATATACTGTATAACTATTGGGTTTGGATGTTTACATTTTTATTTAAATATGTATCATAAAGTATGTAACATTCACTAATTTAAATAAAAGTACATTCAAAGTACCATAATTTATTTTTAAAATTATGTCAGTTTTTCTGAATTTATTTTATTTGTAGAATATAGTAATAAGCCTAAAACAGTTTGTTCAGTTTCAGATTAAAGTCTGAAAAATTGAAGTAATCTTCAGGAACTGAGCAGGAATTAAAAGAAAAAGTTTTGATTTAAATAGATTATCTAGTAGTAAGAGCTAAGATGTTTGTGAGAAACAAGTCATCTTCAAGCTTTTAGATTATCTGAATTTTTAATTTTGCTGTTTAAATTTTTTTTTAGTCTAAACTGATTTTTAAACGAAATTTAGAAAATAAAGTTGTAAATTCCACCTGTGACATCTCATGATTGGAAATTCTTGTTTCTCATTGTAAAGTTTGGCTCTTTTGCAAATCAAACCAACTCCTGAGATCAAACTCAACCTTAGGTTTGTGAGAAGGATCTGACCTCTCAAAGGTAATGACCAAATCAAGAAGATTGTAAGAAATACTATGTACATGGGGATTAATAAAAACACTAAAGTCAATGAATTATTTAATAAATGCAAAAGGGTTATTATTAAATGAATGCAATAAAATAATTAATTAAACAATGTTCTAGTATTCAATAACTATACAGGGTGTTTTGCATGAAAGTACCCAATTTGATTTGACTATAAAAAATTAACAGTTAAAGATATATTTCATCAATGATTTTATATGAGAGAATAACTTATCAAATCTCATTGAAAAAATCGTAACTTTATGTATACCCCAGCAGTCACAATGACAACATCAAAGTGGTAGGCAATTTCCTGCTATATACACTGTAGTATGTCCTGTCTCACAGTGGTGATGGTTGTGATGATGTGTTCCTGAAGATCCTGGAGGTCTCTGATCAAAGTCTCATAAACCATATCTTTTATGTAACTCTACAGAAAAAATTAAGGTTAGATCAGGAGATCTTGGCAATCATGCTGACAGGCATACCAGATCGCGACCTGCACTTTCTCTTGTGACGAAGCCTGACTGGACAATAATGTTTACAATTTGACTTGTGTGCCATCGTGCAGCATGAGAAAATCTCTATAAAACTTTGAGTTCTTCTACCAGATGCTATTTGTTTTTTATGTATCTTAAACCATTTATTTTTTATGGCAAATTAAAATCAGGTACTTTCAAGCAGAACACCCTGGTACTTTCTTGCTGCTGTTGTATTTTTGATTAACCTCATTATGCAGGTATAATGATGTTAATCAACAATACAACAACAACAGCAAAAAGTAATATCTACATAACAGCAATTCCAGGCGATCAATTATTTGTATTCTTTCACCTAGCCTTACTAGCAAATCTTTCCTCAAACTTGCCATTTTATATTTGTCTATTCAGTGCTGCCTACCTCATTTACATGTTTTCACATTATTCAATATGCATGCATTTATTTTCTGTGCTGGCAGTAAGCTCTAAAGGTCAGACTGTGCCATTACATTCATCATTAAGCAAATAATTGTTATTTTTAACTTTGTTTTTGCCACCTTGTGGCTTTTGTCAGTGTATAACAAATTACATTTTCCAGACAGCCCGACTGCTAATAATAAGATGGTTTTCTAGAAAATTTGTTCTCAGTCAGGAGTGTGAAGTAATCATGCTTAACGCAAAAGAAATCCTCAAAATTAATGCTACTAAAATAAAATAAATGATAGAGAACAAAATGAAGTCAAGTTCCTCCTCATATCATAAGAAAACATTTTAACACATTAATTGTTTTTTATTATTACTATTATGTTGGGTTTAGCGGGTTATACTTGGTTGGCACTGGTGGCTATGTACTATGCCAGACCAGAGTCAAGGTATAGCAACTAAAACTAAATAAGTGTGTCAGTGTCTGTATTCAGGAATTTCCTAACAATATGGCATGTATTCATTATAGTGGCCTTCTGTAGTGTGATGTATGTATAATATTTCTATTCAATTGTAATGTTCCCAGCCTAGTGTAGTGTGTGTGGTATCACACCTGTACAGGAGAGAACGACAGGTGCACCCTATCCATCCTCCACAGATGCCTTATTTTCTGGGCGAGTTCTGTGTACAGTATTTGCTGATTTTTTCAGTAAATGTGTTTGGTATATTGTGTGTTTGGAATGGATATGTCTATAATGTATGTTATTTTATTGTGTTTGTCAATGAGTGTAGTGTTTGGTCTGTTGTGGTAGATAGTTTTATCTGTGATTATGACTCTGTCATAGTACATTTTGTACATGTTGTTTTCCAATACTGTCTGTGGAATGTATTTGTAGTATGGTTCATGGATGTCTAATAATTTGTGTTTCTTTGCAACCTCTTGGTGTATTAAATTTGCTACTTGATTATGTTTGTGTAAATAATCTGTCTGTGCCAAGAGCTTGCAACCAGAAGTGATGTGTTGTATAGTTTCTGGCATGATGTGACATTTTCTGCATGTGTCACTTGTGAGTGTTGTATCTTTGAGTATGTGTTTTCTGTAGTTTTAATATTTATGACCTGATCCTGTATGGCAATCATGAACCCTATAATCTCCACAATGAGGCATACACTTATTATTATGTTAGTGCTCCAAATTTTTAGATATATTAGGCACATTCTCTGATTTCATTTTTAATTAAAATTCCAATTCATTATATTATCAAAGAGTCAATGGCTTTTCATGACTTCTTGAAAAAAGTTGATTTATTAAAAATTATTATTGCTGAATTTCTAAGTTGAATGGTTATTTTGTTTTTTTTTCACAGCAATGAAATTCTTTTTCTTTAATTGCTGAAGATGAGCTTTAATCTGAAAGTGTTTAAGCTGTTTTGCTTTGTTGTTATGACAAATAAAGCAAGTCTATGTTGTTATTTTGAAATAATTTTTGGAGTATAATATTGTTTGAAAATACAAGTTTTTATATTGTTTGTCACTAATGAAGTGTTATACATGTTGTGTAAAAACTACATATAAGTTTGTTAAAGTAGTCTTTTTTTATTATTAGAAAAACTTTTAGTTCTGAATTAATTTATATTAAAAATAAATTTAATTTTGGTCATTCAATATATATTTATATATTATTTTTTGCAAATTATAAATAAATTTTTATATTTAGGTTCACTCTGAAGATCTTGCTCGTTCATTAAATCTTCAAATTGGTGTATACGAAGTAAAACAATTTGCAGAAAAAGCATCGTTTGGAATGAAACGTCCTGCACCTGATGTAGAAAACATGAAAACTGGTGAAGAGGCAAACCAAATTGCAGATCAGATGAACCCAAGTAAAAAGCAATGCATGGATGAAACTGTAGGTGAAGCACTTAGTAGTACACTTTCAGATCAAATTTTAAATGAAAGTGTAGACAATATAGATCTTTCTGGTTTAAGAGGAAGTTTAGTTTCAGAAATGGGAAATAATCAAAGGAATGCATTACTTCATCAACAAGTAACAGATGAATCTGTCTTAAATAGTTTTGATTTATCTGGTGATAATTATAATGTGGAAGGTAAACTTACATCAACATCACAAAATGCAATGGTTACCAGTTCTGTTGGAACTGTATCAAAATCTCAAATGCAAGGTATTTCTCAACAACCAACTCTTCAAGTACGTAAAGTACAAATATTTGGTTCGTCTAAAATTGATGAAACTAATGAAAATCATGAAGTGCTGGAAGGGTCTATTGGTTCTAGCCATGGTACTACTGAAGATTCATCAAACATGCTTGTCAATAATAGAGAAAATATTTCAGTTATTACTTCTGATGGAAGTCTCTCAACAGTAGTTAATGTACAAGGAACTGCTACAACTTTAAATGAATATTCTTCAGTTACTGGGTTGATGACAGGAGAGGGCATTCTTTTAAACAACTCTTCAGTTCCTCCTGGTACAAATGTTGTCATAAGTGTTCCTGACAGTACTATGTCAGGACAACACAATGCAATGGAAACTGAAGATTCTTCAACTTGTGCAGAAGTGAATTCCTCAGATATGTCAGTTGTTAATACAGTTGAAGCAAATAATGAAATGACTGAAGCTAATTCCAAAATTTTGCCAGAAGGAAATCAAATTACATCAGAAGGGAAGAAAGTTTCTGAAATGAATCAGGTGATATTTTTTAATCATTTTCAAAGTAATTTTTTTCAGATATTTTATCTTAAAACTTTTCTAGTTATATTTATAACATTTATATTAATTAAGCCCATAGAAGAGATAGATTGAATATGATAAAATAGAATTAACTGTTACAATATTTTTTATTCACCAAAATTTTCGTATATTTATTTACTTCTACAGTAATAATTAATGGAGTTGAATATATATTTGAAATACATAAAAACATTAAATGGCTTTTAAACAAGTCAGTTTATCAAAACTTAAACATTTTGAAGCTAATTATTTAAAATAATAATCATATAATCTGGTCACAGAATGGATTTTTATTTTGCCACTATAATATTAGGGGTAGTCAAATGAAAGGATAAGACACCGAAAAGTGTCATTGAACATTTATTTCCTCAGAAATAATCTCCATAGCTGTTAATACATTTATTTATCCCATTGGGAGGCAAGATCATCAATCCCATTCTTGTAGAAGCATTTAGGCCACTGATGGATCTACAATCTTACCCAATTACATACATCTCATTTGTTTGAAATTGATGTCTGTGAATGTCTTTCTTCAGGTTGCCAAAAATGTCAAGATGAAAGATCTTGACTGTAGGGAGGATACTGAAGTGTTTTCCATCCAAATCCCTGAAGTATAACCACTCACCATGTGGGAAGTGTGTGGGCAAGTGGTATCGAGGGAAATAATGCTATTCAATAGCATTTCTGCAAACTGTCTTCATAGTGCTTCTCATTCATTGTGGTCCCATGTTCGAGAAAGTTGACAAGCAGCAGGCCCTTGCAGTCAAAGAACAATGTTGTCATTACTTTTCCAGAACTTGTTTGTATGGCTTTGGACATTTTTAGCAGGGAGAATGCACGTGTTTCCACTCTTAACTTTGCTGTTTATTCTCGGGCTGTGAATGTTGTCATCATGTTTTGTCCCTAGTGACATTATGGGACAGAAATGCATATTTTTCCTCATGGTGCAGCAGCAGGTGACTCAGAGATACAGCCACTCTGTGAGTCCTTTGTTCCTTCATCAGTTGATGCAATCTTGCATTACCTAAAAGTTGCAGACACATGTTTTGGTAATGCAGGTGGTCTTTGATAATGGTATGTATGGAACCATAGCTTCTCTCCATTAAAATATGAAGTTCTTCCACTATGACCCATTTGTTTTCCCAGATAATACCATTCACCCATGCAATAACATCTAGATTAATGACATGATGAGCCTGTTTTTGGCATGGATTGTCTTGCAATGTCTTGCATTCATCTCAGAATTTCTTATGCCATTCCCACACACATGAACATGACATGCAGTGTTTGCCATATGCAGTGAAAAACCAACCACGCCTATCTGTTCTTTACTCACCTCCATTTCTGATATCAGATGAATACACATATTGCTAACCTTATTTCAAATGTAATGTACAAGTAGTCACTATGCTGCTCTCCTTCCCCACAGATGGCAATTTCATTCATAAATAGTAGTGTTGCCAACTTTTCCATGCCTTAACTTCTATGCATAGAGACCTATTTTCATTTGACTACTACTGATATATACTTCATGAGAACATAAAAACTGAATATAAAGATTAAAACGTAAAGAAAAGAAAAAAAAAATGGATTCTTCTCATTTCTCGTAGCAGTATGACATTTTATTGAGATATAAAATTGAAAGTACTCTTTTGATGATTAATGGAAAAATTTTCTACATTATTAAGTTCAGAAGTTTAGAAACACTGATACATGTTAAGATTTAATAATTTCAAAAAACAGCAATGGTATCAGTTTTTCTAATGATGTAATAACATATACAAGTCAGATACACAAAATGCCTTGAAATGAAGAGAAACTGACTGAAAATGTTAATTATTGTGAACAATAGTTTTATTTTATATGCAGATTGTTGCAAAGATTTATAAACAGGTTCTTGCATTTATAAGAGTTCAGAAACATTGTATAAACATTTGTTTATGCAAATATCACACAAATTATGACTTAGTTATATAAATGTGTAGCTGTCATAATCTATACTCATTTTCCAAACTGAATATGGGGAAAATATATGAGTTAATGATTGAAGAAAAAGTCAAAATTATACCTTTGCACGATACTGCCTCATTGTTGACATCACTAGCAACTGAGATCAATAGTACCAAGTGTACAATTTATAAATGGCTGAAATGCTACAGGTATGAAGTACAGTACTGTACATATTATCCACAGCAATCATCTACTTTATGAATGTCTAAAACTTACAATTCCAAAGACGTATAATAATAATCAGATGTATTGTAAAAAAAATGTTTGTGTATGTGTATATATATATATATACACATACACAAACATTTTTTTTACAATACATCTGATTATTNAAAGAAGGGTCCCAATTGTAAAATTTAACCATTAAATGGATTATTTGTTGAAAGAGCATTCAAAGTAGCCACGAAAACAATTAGAATGCTTGCGCGGAGTTACATGGAGGTATAAAAGAACGCACCCTTTATTATATTACATGTTGTACGAGGGTTTTACCCAATTCCCAAATCGTGTTAGAGTGTACCCGTTCTATAAAAAGCACCGTGTTATACGGGGATGTTCCCAATTCTCGAACCGTGTTAGACTGAATCCGTGCTATAGAAGTCCCATGTTATACGGGGTTTACCTGTATTTTTACTCAGAAACACACAAATCACATTTGAAAATTTAATGTATTATGGCATCATCTGTGAATTATAACAAAAACTTTCATAATTAGAATGAGAAAGTCATTTTATCACTATAAGTAAACATAGTAAATATTAAAAATAATTTGATATATTTTTTAATTAAAATATAGTTTTGTTTACATTTTAAAATGTTTTATTGATACTTAAATATATTTGCCGACCTCCAGCCTTGATTTGAACTGGATAGCTCTAGATAACAAAAATTAATGAAATTACTAAAAATTAAATTTAAATTTACTTTAATTTATCTTTTGTGAGAAACAACACTAAAACAACTTCTAAAGTTATGTTGCAGAAGAAAAAATTGTTGCAACAATGTTTTTAAAACTGTTTAAAAGTTGTTTAGAAATTTTAAAATTTATGTTATTTGTGTGTGGCGGTGATGGAACATTTTGCTTTTAATATTTATATAGATATACAGAATACAGATTGCTAGTCAAGCCGGCCCAATGCCAATCAGATGGCAACCCAAAAGTCCTCCTATCTTCCCTAAAATGGTGACAGTTAGAACCAATCAAGTGCAATCTCTAGTCACTCTGACTACATGAAAGGAAAGTCCACCATGATGGACATCATATCGTGTCCGCCATTGTGTACTTTCTGCTTTATCAATGTGAAAGTTTCCAATAAACTAATATTTAATTGTTAATATCATAATTTAAAATTTTTTAATCTTTGACTGAAACAAATAATTAATTTTCTTATAAATCTTTTTGTACCTAAACTATCTGAAAATTAGCTTATCATACTGTGAAGAGTGTTTTTTCCAGGGCTGTGGAGTTTTGGTATTTGAGTCGGAGTCATTAAAAGTCTGCCAACTCTGATTTCTTTTTACTTTTCCAACTTGTTATGTATATAAAACGGTAAAGTATTGGAATCGTGTCAAATTTTACCCTCTGAGTTTTTTGCAATCTACGCAATCCTTCTTTATATATTAGATTTCAATATCTGATATATAAAGAAGAAAGTTAGTTTGTTCTTTATACATTTTGACATCGTTGACGTTTGCAATGAAACTTTTCAGAGACCATCTTCTAATCCAGGAGGAGGTGAACAATTACAACCCATTCCCAAAATGATAGAATATTTTTGCAAGGGACTGAATACATGTGAAAATTCATTAAATATTATACATACAATGATTTCATTGTTTGTTCTAAGTTACATGATGTTAATGAATAAATATAAATATTGATGATGAATTTTTATATGTAACAAAAAATAACATTTTGTTGTCTTGTAATGTTAGAATATCAACCACATTGTTTCAAAACAATAGAATATTCTACTTGTAAGGTTATCTATCACCCAAAATTAGTATTCTGGATGACTTCTATTTCTGATGACTGCCTGACATTGTACCAGGATAGATTACATCAATGTGTGGCATTTCCCAAGGAGAAAATTATCCGATACAGCTTGAATTACTGATTTCAGATCATCTTTTGTTTTGGAAGAGACCTCAGCTTTCCAAATTTCTTTATTCATTTCCAATGGAACTGTTTCTGTTGGATTTAGGTGAGATGAGTTACCTGACCAAGGAAGAAGAGAAATGCCCAGGTTTTGTTGCTTCTGAAGTTTTGAGCAGGTGCATGATTATGTCGGAAAACAAATCGATCATTCTGAAATAGGTCCTCTATAGAAGGCAATAGTGCAGCTTTCAGAATGATCTGATAAGTTGTTGAATCACTCTTGCTATTAAAAAATAAGATATTTTTCATAAGTCATGCAATCCCATACTATATGACTAGCTGATTGTTTAATTGTCTGCTTTATGCTGCCAGGCATAATACTCCCCTCCTTTTTTCTCTGCATATAATTATGCTTACTGACTGGTACATGAAATATGCTCTTATCATTGACTATAACAGAACCCCAAAATTCTGGAGTTTTCTAATGTACTCTTTGACCCATTTAGCAATGGCTTCTTTTTGGGTGCTGAAGACCAACATCCAAGCACCTGGAGTCTTCTATGAACAGTTGATCTACTAATGAAAATACCCTTTAATAAGATGCCTGTAATTGTACTAAAACATTGTTTTCTGGAATTCAGAATTCTATCCCCTTATGTAAGGATGACCTTCCCATTAAAGTCCTGACACATCCATTTCTTTTATTTTCTGAAATGATTTTAAATTCATTCTCTTCAGATATATTTAATTTTTTCACTATAAAATTCTGTGTCTTGCCTTATGACAAATGATAATTTGTTTCTTAAGTTCAGCACTCAGGCTCATTGGCCTTTTCATCTTCATTATTCAA